CTGGGCAGATACTGACCCCATAACCCCATCATCCTTCTCTTCCTCATCCTCTGGCTGGGCCCATCTCCCAGCATTAGACAGCAGCAGGAGCAAACACTGATAAGCTGCATCAGGCGCCAGCTATCTCAGTGCAGAGATAACAGCAGGTATCAGGCACAACAAACACCCAGTGCCACTCCCCACACACCTGGGGGAGCCTGCCCAGGGGAAGCCCACCCTGACACCTCCTGAAGGGGCTCCTCCTGACCCAGTCAGGAATCCTACTTGAGACTGTCACTCTGTGGGACCCTGCAAACAAGGGAGTAGAAATCACATCTTTGTCTTCAGACTGGGCAAATACCAGAAGCCAATTCCCTCCTCCTTTTCGTTACCTCTTCAGAGGTATTTTAGCATCTTAAATTCACTGCCATGGCTCTAGGTTTATGCTACTCTTAGTGGAAAATTCCCATCTTACAGGTGGAAAAATGAAAATCAAGACTCCCAAAACATAATGTCATACCCTAGCTCCTAAATAGTTTGGCATCCTGGTGGATATGCATGTAATATCAGTATCTGACCCTTCAAAGCAGTCATGTTTGCTCTCATGCAGATGTTATCTCAAAGATATTTACTCATCAAAAGCAGGATCCCTAATTAGCCCTATGCAGGGTTAATCTTCCATTACCCATTAGGACATGGAGCCAGGAATTAAATTACACCTCAGACACCTTGTCCCACATCTTTCAGCTCTCCCCTAATACAAGACAATTTCATAGGGCCCTGGCTCCCAAAATACCCCAAAATTTGCTGGCAGAAGGATAAGAATCCACACATCATGGTTTATCTATATGGGAAAGGTGTCTGGAATAAATGACAGCAGAACAGCTTCTTCAGTGGACATTTCTTCAGACCCCACCAGTTTTACAGTGACTATTCCTCCTGAATAGAAAAACTATTCATGAAGCTCTGGCAACACAATTACTTTGTCACAGGGTAAAGCTCTTCATGTTTGCCTAAGGGGAAACACATCCCTTCCAACTGCTTCACCTCCCCTCCATCACAAGTAACTGATGAAAGCTTGGGATGAAGAGGAGGAGAAATTAGGATAAAGTAATGGAGAAAGAAAGGGGCTGAGACATGTATTTCTGGCAGAGAAGCAAGGAACTGCTCATGGCAAGACAGAATATGTAAACAGAAGAAAACAAACACAAACATAAATCAAGATTAACACAGAATGATTCTGTCCCCATGCTGTGCTGGTTTTGTGCTGAGTTGTGAGAGAATTATGCCACCTGGCATTCAACTCAGGCACCAAAAAAGTTTAGGTTTTGTGTCTCATGGCCAGAAATTCAGTCCTAGACAAACTCTGCTTTACAGATGACCTAAGACAGAAATGAGGAAGGCACATGGAAAGGAACTTCTCTGCAGTGGCTGTACCTCCTCAGACTAGAAGTACAGTCCCACCACACTTATACAGACCAAGACCTCCTCTCTCCCCCAGCTACATCAAAAACTTCCAATCCAGCTTGGGAGAGCAAGAGCAAGGTCACTCTCACCCAAGCCTATGGGCACAAACCCTTTGATTTAGCACTGTGGCACTGCTACCTGCACTTCACATCAATGAGCACTCACTGAACAGCACGACTGTGGGACACAGAGGGACTCTCCAGATAAGCTTTTAGTGGTACAAGCATGGAGCAAAATTAATCACAGAGGTATGAAGGATCATAAAATACAGTTTGAATCATCCTCTGTCAGAATCTGCTCCAAAACTCACTTTTATCAAGTCACTGTGACAAACTTCTTTCTTAATGGCAATCAAAATGTATGGAGTACTCTCAAATCTCAGTTTACACAATGTTCTGCTCTAAATGAGATGTACTAGACTCAAGAACTCAGGAGCCTGAAACTCAAGGAAACTTGTTAGAGATTATTTTCCCTATAAACAAGACAGCTCTACTTCAAAAGACTTAGGAACTCTACAATTTTATTTTGAGGCCACATTTGAAGCGTATTTCAAAGAACACATTCCATACGGCTTTTAAACCTGACTGCATCTTCTATCAGTAATTTGTGAACCTCAGCTGCTTTGGGGAGTTTTCTGTTTTATTTTAAGAAGACTTTGCTGTTCACCTTTAAGCACAGTTCATATGCCCTCATCAGCATAAGAAGGTACCCTCAACCCTTTTTTATTTATGTTTCTTCAGTACATCAGCAAAGATTAAAGTGTGGTTAAGCCACTCCTTTTATCTTGGCATAATTCATTTTTACACCATATCAACCTTCTCCAGGGCTGGATATTTGCATATTAATAATAAAGCCTGCTTTTTAACTCCTCCCTTTAGCTTAATATATTAAAAAGCGTTGATAGATAAGACTTAGCTTTCAAATTAGCGGTGGTGGCAAAGCAGAGTTCAAATTATTCCATTAAAACAGAGACAGCTATGTTTATTGTCCTCCCACATTTGAGTTAAGCTGGAATTTCACTCAGAGAAACTGTCCTGCTCTGATTATGACGAAGAAGGTGTAAGTTTGATCATTTCCCCAAATTGGCTAAAAAACATTTGGGAACGACAGTTTGAATATCTTTACTGTTTCCCAGTCACTGGCATTCCTACACATTCTTTCTGAAGTGCAAAGAAACTGAGGATGCAGCTCCGTGGTTTCTTTAAGCCATTTATGCGTGGGTTGCAGGCAGAAGAAGCAGCCTGCCCCTCTCCACGCCATCGTGTCTCCCCAGTGGAATTACTGGTGCTGCAGCTGCATGGTTGGCAGGGCCAAGGAATCAATCTACCTACAAACTCACCCTCCCCACCTTGTATTTCCTGCCAGGTCGTTTCCTACGGCACAACTCACACCACCAGTGTCAGCAGAAGGAAGCGTGGTGGGACACAGCTGCTGGGGGGTAGAAGACCCCTCCTGACAGTGGCTGGCACTTGACCAGCTCAGAGAAGTGGCCACAACATAAGAAATTGCAGAAAAAACAGATGCACAATAGCAATTCTTTCCAACTCTGCAAACTCCAGTGCTTCTCTTCTACAGTGCTTAAGCTGGCTCTCACCAACAGCCAAAGCAGCCTTTACTGACTTTGATCACTGAACCACATCAAGTCTGCAGGATGTGAAAATAGCAACAAACAGAAGCTCCTGTATTCCCCCCTGCACTAATCTCCCCTGTGCTGCCTTGCTTCCACATTCTCATGATTTAATATTTTTTGATGCCTCATAAAGCTCCAGTTCCTGGAATCAATGTAAGAGTATCTGCCTCATTTAAAGAAAAGACCAAAATATTATTTGACTGCTTTGCAGAGAAATTCAAAGGTAAAGAAAATTAGTGAAATAATCAGGACAATACTAGTCCCATAAAGAAACAAACAAAAAACCCCCAGGAAATCCATCACTACCTATATGTCATTCTCATGCTTCTGTTTTTAAAATATTAGGATTTAAAATTATTTATTATTTAAATATGTGAAGATATTTGCTTTTAAACTACTTCGAGAGATGGACAAAACATGAAGGGAAATTTGCACTGATACCAGCAGTGCTGACAATATCATGCCCTAAAGATGGCTATTGCTAGAGAGTGCACCATTTGTCATGACTGTCTCCTTCTTCCTCACAGTATTTCTTGAATGCACATTGCAAAGTTATAAAATACACACCGTAACATCAACTACAAACAGCTACAGAAATACCAGCTCTGAGAGTATGAGACTTGTGGTGGAGGATCTGCTCTGACCTCAGTCTAAAAGACCCTTCACTGTGGACTGGAATTCAGAAGGGAAGCAAAGGAAGCACATCCTCATATTTGAGGAGAAATTCTGGTAGTACAGTTTTCTACCAGCAAAGAAGGCTTTTTCTGCCCTCAGCACAATGGCATCACATGCAACCTCAGATCAGACACAAGGTAACTTTTGTACCTACACCTTCTCTGCCAAGGGAAAGAAGGACCTTGGAAAGAACTGCATCAGTAGAAATTTTATCTCCTCCAGACAAACCAAGTGCTGCTACCCAGAGAACCCAAATTTCAAGAGTCACTTGAAAAAAAAACAAAACAAAAAAAATCCCCAAACCCAAGACAAAAGTTACTAACAACCATTGGATCTTAGTACATCAAGGTCACTTTTTACCCCCTAGATCCAGGAAAACTAGTAACTTCATTTCAGCAGGAGTAATTGTATTACCTAACCCTTATCTGTCACTCTTTTATCTGTACCTCTCACAAGAGGCTGACAGCACTGTCTGCCTGTGATACCACTGTTTGCATGCACTCCATCAGTAGTACCCAAGCCACTTCAAAGCACAGTGTCCAGGACCAGGCCAGCAGCTGCTGTCACCAACACCAAACCCAGAAGAAAACATCTGTGAGTCCTTGTTCTATGCAAAAACAGAAAAACAACTCCTACCTAGTCTACTGACTTGAGAATTCAAAGATTGTGGGATAATATCAACAACGAAAGTCTAGATGTTTTGTTCATTTTAACTACAGGGATTGTCAACAGCTGTTTTACCCTACAGGTGTTTGCTCAGCCTGACCCTCTTCTTCCTCAGGCTACATCCCCAGCGAAGCCAGTGGAAGCTTTGCCTTCTCAACTGGGCCCTACATTACCTTAATTAAAGTTTTGCTGTCTCTGGCTGTATGGATGTTCAAGATGGGCATCTGCCTCATGGAAGAAAATTGAGATAACTGGACAGAGTCCTTCATTCCTATGAGGTCCACTGAATATTTTGCTGTAAAGAATTGAATACTGACAGTAGTATGTTTGTTACTACCACCCCTTTCTGAGATAGTTATACACTGTGGATGCGCACTCCCCTTTCATTCCTGTCCATCCCCTACCAAAAACAAAACAAAAAAACCCCAACCCCATCCCTTGCTTCAAAACATTTCAGACAATCAGGAACTTATCTAGACATCTCAATGATTTTACAGTGTAACACATATCCTAGTATCACAAGAATATGTTTTACCTTGAGGCAAATGTTTTAATTTATGTGCATGTGAGCTATTTGCAATACCTCCACCAAATGGAGCCCATATAACCCGTCGGATGGCTTTCACCCAATCTTCCATTTCATTCTGGGAATTAGCCATGAGCAGGAAAGCCTCATGATTGACAGGCGTCTTTTCCCGGTCCCCTGCACCACCTGAAAGACAGAATACAAATCTCTTTTAGCAGCCTGTTTAAAAGAGAGCAACCAAAGTTTAACACCACCAAAAATCTCGGTCAAAATAATTAAATTACTATTTTAATTGAGCAGTTTTACAGACAATTCCTGCAGATGTGCTGTGGCACCCACAGAGCACAGGCTGATGGAAGATCAAAGCAGAAGTGCAAAATATGCATTTCCAGTGTGGGAAACCTGGAGATGTTGTACCTGTTGTCTCAGCAATAAGAAAAGTGAAAGCACAGGCCGTAAGACTCTATAGGAAAAGAAATTAATTCCACGTACCTGTGCTGAGTATTGAGAGAATTTTATCCAAAAGTGGCACCAAGTGGAGTGTAAAATATTTTAAAATGCTTCAGATGTAGAAGTCACAAGATCATCCACTTTCCCCAAGTCTCTGGGATATTTATAGTCTCAATACAGAGAAAGAGACCCATTCTGATTTTGCATCCAATTTAGAAGAAAGTTAAGAGCTGGGGATATGATTCTGACTCTTCCTCTTGATGTAAAAATTTTAGGAGCTATTAATGTTGGTGTGCAGAAAAGTACTGACCAGAATATCAAATTCACTCAAGCTGTCACAAAAAACTCTCCCTTGTGGATACGTCAATACTCGAAACATTTTGACCCTGCTTTTCCTGTTTCATTTTTAGGTCAGCACTCACTCCAACAATTTAAATATCTTCCCCTCACCCTTCATTTTATGTTCCAGAGCTGGATACAACCTAGTGAGTGCCACATAAACACATAAAAGCTTTATTAGAAGAGCCTCTGTATGAAAAGGCTACTGATCCTGTCCAATTCAGCAGCTGCATCCCCAGCAGCCTGGAGCTTCCCCATCACCATGGAAACTGCCTTTGGCTTTGCTGTGGAGATAACATCTGAGCTCTGTGTCACTGTCATTTCCACGCTTACTTGGCTCTCAGCACCTACTGGCAAGCTGAAGCTGCCAGCCTGTGCTGAGCAGCTGAGATTGCCTGCCCATGGAATTCAGAGATAAGAGCACAATGATGGTATGCTGTGGTTTCTGCAGAGCTGATTTAGCATACGCAGAACATGTGCTTCTTAAATCCTCACTAATCTGGGGAAAGAAGCAAGCTGGGAGCTGCCTGCAAGCCAAGGAAGTACTTTTTCTTGCTATTAATTGTTTTCTTGCCTTGACAGACTCATGGAACATTTATTGATTTGCAAAGCAGAAGTGGTAAAATGAGATGCTTTGGGAAGTATTTTGTGGTTCTCCGAGAAGCAATTCACTAAACTGGGAAACTGAGGCAGTCTTTCAGTAAAGAGGAGAAACAGCAGCCACCAGGGACTAGCTGTGCAGCTTAAGAAACAAAAGCCATGATGCTTTTCCTCCTCCACATGTACCCAAATCCTCTTGGACAGTCTCCCATTTTTTGATTTACTGAATTATTCATATTCCTTAAGGTATATAAGAGAACAGCTCTCTAGCTCAAGGCTAGGTGCAGGCATCTGAACAGATCAGTGTTCCACCATCTTCCACTGCAAGGATGACATGCTTCATCCTCTGCATACAAAACTGCCTGTGCAGGAAACTGCAGCCTGTAGAATTCCTGTCACTGTCTAAATCTTTTTTAGCAGCATACTCAGCCTCATGGTGAATGCAGAGGTTGTGAAGTCTAATTCTTGCACCTTACCCAGCTGACCTACTGACACACCCTTTCCCATAATCAAATGACACACCTACACACCTACTGACACACCCTTTCCCATAATCAAATGTTTCATAAGAGTTACAATTCAAAGGGGCTTTCCACAGCCCTCAATACACATCAGAAATGGGTTTTAGGATGTGGTGTTTGGCACATAGGTGGCCAGAGCTCAAGCTAGACCGTCATTCTTCAAAGGAATTAAACAGCCTCAAAAAGACATTTACTGTATGGGTCCCACCACCAGCAAACAACTGAGTTTGGTCAAGATTAAAATACATCTTGCTCTTAAGTTTAAAGGGATCAGCTGAGATCTTGCCCACCCAAGCCATGAAGGGCAAGAAGAGACCAGAACCTTGTCTTAGAATTAATCACAAACTGTAAATTCAGTGGAGTTAGCTGCACTAACCCATACAAAGATTGCCATAAGAAGCAGAATAAGCAGAGGATGATGGCTTACTGGACTTCTGCAAAACTGGCATCAGCATCTTCTACAGTACAGGAATTACTGTACCAGAGGGAGCTGACTACAAGTCCCCTTCCCCTAAGATGCTACTTTGGACCAGCCAGCTGCTTTCTAAACCTTCAGAGACAGTTTTCAGGCAAGCATTTAGGGGAAAAATATAAAAACATTTATAATTCTATTTGAGTCTGTAAATAGCAAAAACTGGATGGGAAAAACAGATTTTTGTACACACCAGACCTGAGATTCTGCCAAAGACTACATATAGTTCCTCCATGTTTGGCTTTCCCCACTGAAACTTGAAAGAGGAGCAAGGCCATGACCCTACAATCTGCCTGTGGGAGAGTCAGTAGTGCTAGACATGTAAGTACAAGCAAATGAAAGCAACTCCACACATGAAGGCCAGTTTAAAAATAAGAAATAAGCACTTCAGAATTGCTTATGTTAGCATAATGTGACTATCCAGTGGCAGAGCATGGAGACCCACCTGTAAACATTTTTCTTTTTAGGAACATTTTACTCATATTTCTTTGTACACTTGGCTGGTTCCTTCCACTACATCCTTGAGGCATCAAGCAGAAAAATTAGGGGTTTCTAAAAGGCAGAGTTCAGACTCATGTCTCTCTATATTGTGACATTCAACAGCTTTTCAGTGTTGGTAGTCACAAGAATGAGACACAGCCAATTCAAACACCCACAAACAAATAAACAGCCCAAGGAAACAATGTCACAAGAAACTTTGAAGTCTAGAATTTTACCTGAAATTCACAGATTGTTTCTTTTATGGGCTCAGACACAAAGCAGGATCCTATTATGGATTTCAGGTTTGAATTGGAAACACAACACTCCATCAATTCAAACACACTAGACTTTAGGAATTGTTTTAGAAAATAATTTCAAAGTTTCCTGCCCAGAAACACTTGCAGACAGAATTTTAGTTTCGCCCTTCACAGCAGAATAAAGTTCATATTCAGCTACTGAATTCACACCTCTTCTCTGCCACTATGGGAGATCCATCCCTTTCTCACTCATCTTTAATCAAGCTCCCATATAAACAGGACTGAGCCTCAAAGACAACCCCTGTGTAGCTCAGGATTGCCATGGGCAGACATTCCAGTCCTTTTGCTCAAACCTACTTTAATCTCCAGACTAAAGACAAAATAAAACTGTCTGCAAACACAAGTGTGTCAAAAGATGTGGCAGGAACAGGGGTCTTAACTCTGGGGATGAACAGTCCACTGTTTTAGCATTAGCCTATGACCAGGGCACCCTGAATTCAGTTGCCTGCTGCAGCCTTGCTGTGAATGCTGGACAGGATGCACTGGATTTCATCCTTATCCACAAAGCAAGTTGGCAGCTCAATTTGCCTCTCATCCAGTGTACAGAAACCAAAGAGCCTGAAGAGTGGGAAAGGTGATGGCAGCCCTGTCAACATACACAGTACATGTAAGAGCCTAGAAGGACTGAGAGACTTGTTTGGTTGTTGCTCCCATCAAAAGGGCTGCAGGTCCCAGCTGACTGGAGTGCTTTGCTGCCCCTGTCCCAAGGTACCTTTGCCAGAGCTCTTTACACACCCTGGTAGGTTTCTTAGCCTGGGGGAGCAGTTTAGCTCCAAGCCCCCAGCTGCAGTGCACAAATGCTCTCTTCTCTCCAGGACCAGACTAACTCAAGCTAGCACAACTGCTCTCCTCTGCCTCCACTCATGGTTTCTTCATTTCACATGGCCTGGGAGCAATGACCTGCTAATGGCAGCAGGCACCTCAGAGTAGCGTCCACCTCCCAGTCCTTAGATGTGATCCTCCTTTCAGCTTTCCTCCCATGCCCCACAAAAGGGAAGGTTAAATCCAAAACCACTGAGACTAAATCTTGCTAAATGTGAGATGGGGTGCTGCAACAGCAGCAGGGGTCACCATCTACTCTTCAAGGCCCTGTTTACTGAAAATTCTTTTTTTGACCATCCTTAGACACGTAAGCATTCACTGGAATGTGCAGAACATAAGGTATCATTTTCTTATGCTTGTTCTGCCCCATATCCCTGTTCAAAGAACTGCAACAGACAGGTTGCATCTCTGCCTTTATACAGCCCTTTCCAATGAGGAAAAGCTTGAATTTTTTTGTTTGCCTTGAACCTCATTCACTCAAGCTTAACCTTCTGAAGATCACTTGTGAAGCCAAGCCTTACATCCCCTTTGTCCATATGGAAAAGAAATTCAGGGGGAACAGGACTGGACTTCTGCGTGGGGATGAGACTGCCTCACTGCATGTAAAAGGAGGAACTTTCATATTCTCAAGCAAAGCTGCTGTTGAGTTCTGAAGTTGGCAGCTTCTTTCTTTGCTTCAGTAACTTCTCTTACTTCCACCTCCTCCCTCTGGTTTGCCTTTCACCCATTTCTTACATCATTCCTCGTACTGATGTGCTTGTGTATTGTCCTTATATGAGAAGCTACCCCACTGCAGTAGCTTGTGTACGTGTACACACTGCCCTGTTTGGTGTTTGCAGTGTTTGTTTGGTGTTTGCAGGGCTTTGGTGTGGACAGCAGCTGCAGCGCTGTCAGGGAGTGATTCCAGCGGGGGCTGAGCAGCAGCTCCAGGCGGGATGGGGAAGGGTGGCTGGTGGGAATCAGGGCCCAGCTGACGTGCCTGCCCTCAGTGCTGCAGCAGGTAGGGACAGGAAGCCTCTGACTGCAGACAAGCAGCAACAAAGACCTTGACAAATGGTCAAAAAGTAGCACTCACTGCCGAAAAGAACAACTGCGATGATTCATCCTCCTGACCTGGTCTTTATGATTGACTTTAAGGTGAGTATCAGAATTTGGGGCTCAAAGATCACCCTGATAATAAAGAAG